CAATCACATTCGTATCCGGATACGCCTGTGCGGATGCACACGCCTTTGTGCTGGCATGGGAAAGAGCAGCAGGGATTCACTGCAGAGGAACAAAGGCAGATAGATATATGTGTATGTATATGTATAATGTGCAATGTATGTATGTAGTACCATCCCTTATTCTTTCCACTTCAGGGCAATGCCTGATACAGCCACAAGGTGGCAGGCAAGACTAATTCCCAATTGTGTGTGTGTGTGTGAGAGAGATTATGAGAGTTGTAATGATGATGATAATGATGATGATAATAATAATAATATACTAATAATATATATACTACTACTAATAATAATAACAACAACAACAACAATAATATATACTACTAACTAGCAGTCCCTTGCCATGTGTTGCTGTTGTCAGTTTTGTGTGTGTATATATTTGTGTATATGTGTATATATGTGTGTTTGCATATATGTGTGTGTGTGTTGCTCATGTGTTGTAATGTATTTTTATTTTTTGGCTTTTTAAGTCCTGTCTGCTGTGCTTTTCAGTGTTTTATGAGTGATGGTCACTCATTGGCCTGATAGGTGTATTGACAATTAGTCCAGTGGTTTTTGAGTTATGTTAATCCCACAAACGAACATTACATTTTTATTTATATAGATTATAATAATATAATATATATTATTACTAATAATAATAATAATAATAATAACATAATAATATAATACATATGCTACTATTATTACTTGTTGTTCACTCGTTCAGTCGTCTCCGACTCTTCGTGACCTCATGGACCAGCCCACGCCAGAGCTCCCTGTCGGCCGTTACCACCCCCAGCTCCCTCAAGGTCAGTCCAGTCACTTCAAGGATGCCATCCATCCATCTTGCCCTTGGTCGGCCCCTCTTCCTTTTGCCTTCCACTTTCCCCAGCATAATTGTCTTCTCTAGACTATTATTACTACTACTACTAATAATAATAATATAATATATATACTAATAATATAATATATGTACTACTAATAATATAATATGCATACTACTAATTATAATAATATTAAAATTGGGGGTAGAGAAGGGCGGGGTACACATGCTTGTAATAAATAATATATATTATTATTATGACTAATAATAATAACAACATAATAATATAATACATATACTACTACTATTACTACTACTACTAATATATATATATATATATACTAATAATATATGTACTATTAATAATATAATATGCATACTACTACTAATTATAATAATATTATAATTGGGGGTAGAGAAGGGCGGGGTACAAATGCTTGTAATAAATAATATATATTATTATTACTAATAATAATAATAACATAATAATACAATTCATATACTACTACTATTACTACTAATAATAATATAATATATATACTAATAATATAATATATGTACTACTAATAATACAATATACATACAACTAATTATAATAATATTATAATTGGGGGTAGAGAAGGGCAGGGTACAAATACTTGTAATAAATAAATATTACTAATAATAATATAATATAATATACTGCTACTATTACTAATAATAAAAAATAATAATTTATACTGGGTTGTTGTAGGTTTTTTCGGGCTATATGGCCATGGTCTAGAGGCATTCTCTCCTGACGTTTCGCCTGCATCTGTGGCAAGCATTCTCAGAGGTTGTGAGGTGAGGATGCTTGCCATAGATGCAGGCGAAACGTCAGGAGAGAATGCCTCTAGACCATGGCCATATAGTCCAAAAAAACCTACAACAACCCAGTGATTCCGGCCATGAAAGCCTTCAACAATACAATAATTTATACTACTACAAATGGTAATATAACCCAATGAACCCACTTCCTTCCCAAGCTGTAAGGCAGGTGCAAAGGGTCAAGGGATGGAAGGGAGCGTCTCCCGGATTTGCATTGCAAATGGGCTTTTCCAGGAAGGGTGCAAAGGAGGCCCTTGAACAACACTTCTCACGTTTGCAAGTGCAAAACCGACAAGCAGCGGCAGGTCAGGGAATGCGAGGCATGCGTGCGTGTGCGAAAGGCCAGAGGCTCCAGCTGCTGACCGCTGGGTCACTTCTGCCTCTGGCCAAGACAAGCCCCTTGGGCCCCTTTGCACAAACGGTGCAAAAAAGTGATGCAAGCAGAGATCTTGTGATCCTTTTGGGAGGAAGATACACAAATACCAATACTAATAATGTTAATTATAACACCCTGAACACAACATGAAAAGGACTAATAACAATAACTATAAAATAATAAAATAATAATAATAATAATAATAATAATAATAATAATAATAATTATAACAACTCAATGACGACAACAACAATATTATGTAAACAAGTGACTTTGGCTGGATTGACACTGCCATAGGATGGTCAGCGTAGACCCATACAATTCTGCATGAGACACTAAACGTATCATTTCGGCCGAGGTAAAGCAATCGCCATGGTTTAAATGCCCGGAGGGACATTGTGATGGAGCAAGAAACATGACCGGACAAGCACAGAGATGCTTCGCAACCTTAGGATGGACTGCACGACTGCAAGAAGTGTCCACCCAAGGAATAGATCACTGCAGGGAAAGGGAAACATTACCTCTTTGGAGAAATGCGGTTGCAAATAAAATAAGTACAATGGGGGTCAGACTAGATGATCTTTGGGAGACCCTTCTTGCCTTGTCTGTCCCTATTTAACCTCACTTTTTAACCCCTAAATTCATTCCCAAGAAGTGCGCATGAAGGGTGTTTTAGTTATGAATTCCTGCATTGCAATAATAATAATAATAATAATAATAATAATAATAATAATAATGGGGTCAGTCTAGATGACCTTTGGGAGACCCTTCGTGCCTTATCTGTCCTTATTTAACCTCACTTTTTTACCCCTAAAGCCATTCCCAAGAAGTGCGCATGAATGGCGTTTTAGTTATGAATTCCTGCATTGCAATAATAATAATAATAATGGGGTCAGGATAGATGACCTTTGGGAGACCCTTCGTGCCTTATCTGCCCTTATTTAGCCTCACTTTTTTACCCCTAAAGCCATTCCCAAGAAGTGTGCATGAATGGTGTTTTAGTTATGAATTCCTGCATTGCAATAATAATAATAATAATAATAATAATAATAATAATAATAATAATGGGGTCAGTCTAGATGACCTTTGGGAGACCCTTCGTGCCTTATCTGTCCTTATTTAACCTCACTTTTTTACCCCTAAAGTCATTCCCAAGAAGTGCACATGAATGGTGCCTTAGTTATGAATTCCTGCATTGCAATAATAATAATAATAATAATAATAATAATAATAATGGGGTCAGGCCAGATGACCTTTGGGAGACCCTTCTCACTTTATTTGTCCTTATTTAACCTCCTTTTTTTACTAAAGGGCAAAGTAGTCATTCCAGAGAATGCACACAAATGATGTTTTATTTATAATTTCCTGCATTGCAAAATAAATAAACAAATGGGGTCAGGCTAGATGACCTTTGGGAACCCCTTCTCGCTTTATTTCTCTTTATTTAACCATTTTTGAGGCTAAACTTGAAATGTCCCGGTTTCTTCCCAACTTTCCCCCTTTTTGTCCTCTCTCAGCTCCCTTCAATTGCTCCAAAACCGGTTTCAATTCTGGACAAAAGTAAACGAAAATCTGGACAAGGAGGAAGGAAAATAGGAAGCCGATCATTCATAGTTCCACGAAGTTACTGATCCACACAGTAACTTCGTGGAAAGGCAGTTACAAAAACATTTAAGTGGCTAGTCCATAGCAGGAAAAGTCATTAACAGGTAATTTAAAGGGTAATTGACTTACAGCAAAAAAGTAGTTAGGAAAGTAGTTTCATTAAGTCATTTTAAGTTACTTATCCAAAGCTTCACAGCAGGAAAGTAGCTAGAAAGATAGTTTAAAGGAGTAATTCTGAGTTACCGATCCAAAGGAAAAAGGTATTTTTAAGAAGTAATTTTAAGCTACTGATACAAAGCTTCACAACAGAAAAATAGTTAAAAGATAACTTAAAGGAGTAATTCTAAGTTACTTATTCATAGCATTAAAGTAGTTTTAAAAGTAGTTTCAATCAGTAATTTTAAGTTACTGACTCACAGTATTAAAGTAGTTAGAAAAGTAGTTTCAATAAGTAATTTTACTAAAGGAGTAATTCTAAGTTACTGATCCACAGCAAAAAGGTATTTTTAAGAAGTAATTTTAAGCTATTGATCCAAAGCTTCACAACAGAAAAATAGTTAAAGGGTAATTTAAAGGAGTAATTCTAAGTGACTTATTCATAGCCTTAAAGTAGTTAGAAATGTAGTTTCAATACATAATCTTGAGTTCCTGGTTCACAGCATTAAAGTAGAAAAGGTGTTTCAATCAGTAATGTTAAGTTGCTGACTCACAGTATTAAAGTAGTTAGAAAAGTGGTTTCATTAAGTAATCTTGAGTTACTGGTTCACAGCATTAAAGTAGTTAGAAAAGTAGTTTCAATAAGTAATTTTACTTTACTAAAGGAGTAATTCTAGGTTACTAATCCACAGCAAAAAGGTATTTTAAGAAGTAATTTTAAGCTACTGATCCAAAGAAACAGAAAATAGTTTTCACAACAGAAAAATAGTTAAAGGGTAATTTGAAGGAGTAATTCTAAGTGACTTATTCCTAGCATTATAGTAGTTTTAAAAGTAGTTTCAATAAGTAATCTTGAGTTACTGATTCACAGCATTAAAGTAGTTAGAAAAGTAGTTTCAATAAGTAATTTTAAATTACTGACTCACAGTATTGAAGTAGTTAGAAAAGTGGTTTCAATAAGTAATCTTGAGTTACTGGTTCACAGCATTAAAGTAGTTAGAAAAGTAGTTTCAATAAGTAATTTTACTTTACTAAAGGAGTAATTCTAGGTTACTAATCCACAGCAAAAAGGTATTTTAAGAAGTAATTTTAAGCTACTGATCCAAAGAAACAGAAAATAGTTTTCACAACAGAAAAATAGTTAAAGGGTAATTTAAAGGAGTAATTCTAAGTGACTTATTCATAGCATTAAAGTAGTTTCAATAAGTAATCTTGAGTTACTGATTCACAGCATTAAAGTAGTTAGAAAAGTAGTTTCAATAAGTAATCTTGAGTTACTGATTCACAGCATTAAAGTAGTTAGAAAAGTAGTTTCAATAAGTAATTTTAAGTTACTGACTCACAGTATTGAAGTAGTTAGAAAAGTAGTTTCAATAAGTAATTTTGAGTTACTGGTTCACAGTATTAAAGTAGTTAGAAAAGTAGTTTCAATAAGTAATTTTGAGAAAAGTACTTAGAAAAGTAGTTTCAATAAGTAATTTTGAGTTACTGATTCACAGCAGAGAAGTAGCTAGTCACCACTACAGTTTTAGAAAGAAACTTTCTCATTATTCAAAAGTAAGTAGTTATTCTGAAAGAATACCAAATATACTCAACTAATGATGGAAAATATTGCTTGTAATTAAGAGAAGTAACTAGTTACAAGGAGCTGATGTCATTTCTCAGCTCACCTCAAAGGTGCGACAGGGTTTCCCAATGTCTTTTTTAGGATCAGCCCAGACCTTGAGGCCTATCATCGTTAAGGACTAATTGCGGTTGCGAAATGATGGGATTTTCCCTTCTTTATCTCCCGAGGAGATACGGCAAGGCAGGCGCTGCGCCTGGCTCTCGCTCTGAATCTTCCTTGCTTAATTCTATTTTAACGTTTTGTATACTTTGGGATTATCTAAATGGCATCGAACTGATTGTTTGGAGTCTCGCTGGTCGCAAGAGAGAGAGAAAAAGGAGAGGTATAAACAAAGAAGTATTATTAGTTAATATTAATTATCAATTAATATTAAATAGTATTTTTTATTGTGCAATGAAACTTCTTAGTTGGCAGAAAGGAAGTGTGGGCAGAGCAGAGTGGAGGGCGAGTCCTGGCTCTGCAATGGGGAAAACCTACCTAAATCTCCCCTGCTGGCGCCTCAGCAAACTACAACTCCCAGGGTTCCAAGTATTATTAATTAATATTAATATTAAGTATTATATATTTGTTATATAATGAAGCTTCCTGGTTGGTAAAAAGGAAGTGTGGGCAGAACAGAGTGGAGGGCGAGTCCTGGCTCCACAAAGGGGAAAAACTACCGTGCTGGCGCCTCAGCAAACTACAACCCCCAGGATTCCAAGTATTATTAATTAATATTAATATTAATTATTATATATTTGTTATGTAATGAAGCTTCCTGGTTGGCAGAAAGGAAGTGTGGGCAGAGCAGAGTGGAGGGTGAGTCCTGGCTCTGCAATGGCGAAAACCTACCTAAATCTCCCCTGCTGGTGCCCCAGCAAACTACAACTCCCAGGGTTCCATGTATTATTAATTAATATTAATATTATTATTTATGTATTATATAATGAAACTTCCTGGTTGGCAGAAAGGAAGTGTGGGCAGAGTAGAGTGGAGGGCGAGTCCTGGCTCTGCAATGGGGAAAACTACCTCAATCACTCCTGCTGATGCCTCAGCAAACTACAACTCCTAGGGTTTCAAGTATTATTAATTAATATTAATATTACTATTTATGTATTATATAATGAAACTTCCTGATTGGCAGAGCAGAGTGGAGGGTAAGTCCTGGCTCCGCAAAGGGGAAAAACTACCTAAATCTCCCCTCCTGGTGCCTCAGCAAACTACAACTCCCAAGGTTCCATGTATTATTAATTATTATTAATATTATTATTTATGTATTATATAATGAAGGTTCCTGGTTGGCAGAAAGGAAGTGTGGGCAGAGCAGAGTGGAGGGCGAGTCCTGGCTCTGCAAAGGGGAAAAACTACCGTGCTGGCGCCTCAGTAAGATACAACCCCCAGGGTTCCAAGTATTATTAATTAATATTAATATTAAGTATATATTTGTTTTGTAATGAAGTTTCCTGATTGGCAGAAAGGAAGTGTGGGCAGAGCAGAGTAGAGGGTGAGTCCTGGCTCCGCAAAGGGGAAAAACTACCGTGCTGGCGCCTCAGTAAGATACAACCCCCAGGGTTCCAAGTATTATTAATTAATATTAATTATTATATATTTGTTATGTAATGAAACTTCCTGGTTGGTAAAAAGGAAGTGTGGGCAGAGCAGAGTGGAGGGCGAGTCCTGGCTCTGCAAAGGGGAAAAAATACCTAAACGTCTCCTGCTGGCACTTCGGGAACTACAACTCCCAGGGGTCCTTTATTTATTTATTTCTTCTCCCACGGGAAAGGGGTTCCAAGCAGAGAAAATTAGTTAAAACAGTAGAAATTACATGACACCAAAAGCACCACACCACAACCCCAAATGAAACAGATCAACAAATAACACGTTACATAAATGGTACACAACAAGCTTAATAAACACAACATGCCCCATTAATTACATTCCCTGGGCACGGGAGTGGCCTCAAATGGCGTGGGCAAACTGTCTAACTCGGGGACAGCATGCTCGCACTTCCTGATGGAAGGAAGGAAGGAAGGAAGGAAGGGAAGGAGGAAGGGAAGAGAAAAAGAAGGAAGGACAAAGTGGGCAGGAAGGATGGATGGAAGGAGAAAGAGGGAAAGGAGAAGGATGAAAGGGAAGGAAGGAAGAATGAAAGGGTGGAAGGGAAGGGAAGGAAGGAGGAAGGAAAGAGAGCAGGAAGAAAGAAAGGGAGGAGGAGAAGGATGGAAGGGGAAAGGGAGAGAGAGAAGGAAGGAAGGAAGAAGGAAAGAGGGAAGGAAGGAAAGACAAAAAGCAAGGAAAGGTGAAAGGGAAGGATGAAGGGAGGGAGGGAGGGATAAATTAAAGAGAGAAGGAAGGAAAGACAAAAGGAAAGAAAGGAAGGAAGGAAGGAAGGAAGGAAGGGAAGAGAAAGGGAGAGAGGGAAGGAAGGAAGGACATAAGGGTGGAAGGGAAGGAGAAAGAGTGAGGGAAGGAGGAAGGAAAGAGAGAAAGAAGGGGGGGAGGAAGAGAAGGGTGGAAGGAAGGAAGGGAATGAGGAAGGATGAAAGGGAGGAAGAAAAGGATGGAGTTCTCCGGAGAGTAATGCAACCTAGCCTAGGAATCATAGGGGGCCCTAGAGGCCATCTAGTCCAGCCCCTTTCTGCGTTGCAGACATCTAAAGCCCTCCCGACAGAGGCCTGTCCAGCCTCAGCCTGCAGGCCTCTGACAGGAGGAGGAAGAAAAGGGAAGGAGGAAGAAAACAGAGCAGGAAGAAAGAAAGGGAGGAGGAGGAGGATGGAAGGGGAAAGAGAGAGAGTGGGAAGGAGGGAGGAAAGAGGGAGGAAGGAAGGAAGGAAGGAAGGAAGGAAGGAAGAAGGAAGGAAGGAAGGAAGGAAGGAAGGAAGGAAGGAAGGAAGGAAGGGAAGGATAAAGGAAAGAGAAAGAAAGAAAGATGAAAGGAAAGGGAAGGAAGGAAGGAAGGAAGGGAAGGAAGGGAAGGAAAGGAAAGGAAAGGAAAGGAAGGAAGGAAGGAAGGAAGGAAGGAAGGGAAGGATAAAGGAAAGAGAAAGAAAGAAAGATGAAAGGAAAGGAAGGAAGAAAGGAAGGAAGGAAGGAAGGAAGGAAGGAAGGAAGGGAAGGATAAAGGAAAGAGAAAGAAAGAAAGATGAAAGGAAAGGAAAGGGAAGGGGAGAAGGAAGGAAGGAAGGAAGGAAGGAAGGAAGGAAGGAAGGGAAGGATAAAGGAAAGAGAAAGAAAGAAAGATGAAAGGAAAGGGAAGGGAGGGAGGGAGGAAGGAAGGAAGGAAGGAAGGAAGGAAGGAAGGAAGGAAGGAAGGAAGGAAGGAAGGATAAAGGAAAGAGAAAGAAAGAAAGATGAAAGGAAAGGGAAGGAAGGAAGGAAGGAAGGGAAGGAAGGGAAGGATAAAGGAAAGAGAAAGAAAGAAAGATGAAAGGAAAGGAAAGGGAAGGGGAGGAAGGAAGGAAGGAAGGAAGGAAGGAAGGAAGGGAAGGATAAAGGAAAGAGAAAGAAAGAAAGATGAAAGGAAAGGGAAGGAAGGAAGGAAGGAAGGGAAGGATAAAGGAAAGAGAAAGAAAGAAAGATGAAAGGGAAGGGAAGGGAAGGGAAGGGAAGGGAAGGGAAGGGAAGGGAGGAAGGAAGGAAGGAAGGAAGGAAGGAAGGAAGGAAGGAAGGAAGGAAGGAAGGAAGGAGAAGGAAGGAAGGGAAGGAAGGAAGGAAGGAAGGAAGGAAGGAAGGAAGGAAGGAAGGGAAGGAAGGGAAAGGAAGAGAAAGAAAGACGAAAGGAAAGGAAGGAAGGAAGGGAAGGATAAAGGAAAGAGAGAGAAAGAAAGACAAAAGGAAAGGAAGGAAGGAAGGAAGGGAAGGATAAAAGGAAAGAGAAAGAAAGAAAAAGGAAAGGAAAGGAAAGGAAAAAGAGGGAGAGTGGGTGGACCTCTCTTCCATTCCCTTGTACACATGGCTGGATGGGGGATGCTGGGAGTGGCAGTCCCAAAAAAGAAGAATAACCTTCCCTAAAAAAACCCCAAAAGGGCTGATGAATACATCCCAGTTGGTCCTGGCAAAACCAAGCTCCGAAAACCCTACAAAACCAGTAAGGAAACCCTCCAAAGCCCATAAGTCAGCAGAGCATTGGAAGGCAGGAGGCACACACCTGGGAAGGAGGAGCGATGGGTTGCCTTACCTGGTCCAGAGGTGGCACTCGGGCTCAGCAGCATCCCCAGCAGCAGAAAGGCACCCCATAACCCTACAAAGAGAAGGAGAGCAAGGGAGGGAAGTTAGAGTGGGCATCAGTGGGGGAGAGGAGAAGGTGGGGGTCCAAGGGCAGGTGGGCATCTTACGGCACATGGCAGGAAGGGCCGGCAAGGAGAGTGACCCACCGACCGACTGACCGACCGCTCAGCCCTCGGCTCTGCTCTCTCTGAGTTCTGCCCAAAGGAAGCCAGCCAGCACTTGCAGTCTCCACCCTCCCTGAGCAGCAGCAGCAGAAGCACCCTCCTCTCCTCCTTTTCTCCCCTCCTTCCTTCCTTTCTTCCTTCCTTCCTCCTCGCCTACATTCGCACGCACAGCTCTGGGGTTGGCATGACAGGAGGACCTCCCAATAGACCAGCCATGGGCCAACTTGGGCCTTTCCTCCAGGTGTTTTGGACTTCAACTCCCACCATTCCTAACAGCCTACCGGCTGTTAGGAATGGTGGGAGTTGAAGTCCAAAACACCTGGAGGAAAGGCCCAAGTCAGCCCATGCTTGCAGTCAGACCTTTGCAACAGAGACCCCAGGTGTTGACTTTGGGGTCTCTGTGCAATCAACTCTTTCTTGGTCTTGTAAACATATCCAGGTAATCCTCACCTGAGCTCACCGTAGCCTACCTGGTCTGGCCTTAAGGCATCTAACCCTCACCTGATCAAAATTTAGCCCACCTGACCTAGCCTTAGGCAGGTAACCCTCTGGACTTAGCTCACCTTCTTGTCTTAGCTCACCCTGGTTGTATAGGTAACACTAACTTGGTCTTGCCTTATACAGGTAAATCTCACCTGATCTTGTCTTAGCTCACCCCGGTTACATAAGTATTATCATTATTATTATTATTATTATTATTATTATTATTATTATTATTATATAGGTAACACGGACTTGGTCTTGCCTTATACAGGTAAACCTCACCTGATTTCGCCTTAGCTCACCCTGGTTATAGAGGTAACACTAACTTGTTCTTACCTTTTACAGGTAAGTCTCACCTGATCTTGTCTTAGCTCACCCTGGTTATATAGGTATTATTATTATTATTATTATTATTATTATTATTATTATATAGGTAAGACTGACTTGGTCTTGCCTTATACAGGTAAGCCTCACCTGATGTTGTCTTAGCTCACCCTGGTTGTATAGGTTATTGTTGTTGTTGTTATATTGGTCTTGCCTTATCCTGGCTGTATAGGTAACACTAACTTGGTCTTATGTTATACAGGTAAACCTCACCTGATGTCCTTTTAGCTCACCCTGGTTATATAGGTGTTATATATAGGTAACACTAACTTGATCTTACCTTATACAGGTAAGCCTCACCTGATGTTGTCTTAGCTCACCCTGGTTGTATAGGTTGTTGTTGTTGTTATATAGGTAACACTAACTTGGCCTTGCCTTATCCTGGCTGTATAGGTAACACTAACTTGGTCTTACGTTATACAGGTAAGCCTCATCTGATGTCCTCTTAGCTCACCCTGGTTATATAGGTAACACTAACTAGGTTGGAGATTATACAGGTAAGCCTCACCTGATGTCATCTTAGCTCACCCTGGTTATATAGGTAACACTAACTAGGTCTGAGATTATACAAGTAAGTCTCACCTGATGTCATCTTAGCTCACCCTGGTTATATAGGTAACACTAACTAGGTCTGAGATTATACAGGTAAGCCTCACCTGATGTCATCTTAGCTCACCCTGGTTGTATAGGTTGTTGTTGTTGTTGTTGTTGTTGTTGTTATATAGGGAACACTGACTTGGTCTTGCCTTATACAGGTAAGCCTCGCCTGATGTCCTCTTAGCTCACCCTGGTTATATAGGTAACACTAACTTGCTCTTGCTTTATACAGGTAACCCTCACCTGATGTTGTCTTAGCTCACCCTGGTTGTATAGATGGTTGTTGTTGTTATTATATAGGTAACCCTGACTTGGTCTTGCCTTATACAGGTAAGCCTCACTTGATCTTGTCTTAGCTCACCCTGGTTGTATAGGTAACACTAACTTGGTCTTACCTTATACAGGTAAGCCTCACCTGATGTCATCTTAGCTCACCTGGTTGAATAGGTTGTTGTTGTTGTTGTTGTTGTTGTTATATAGGTAACACTGACTTGGTCTTGCCTTATACAGGTAAGCCTCACTTGATGTCGTCTTAGCTCACCCTGGTTGTATAGGTAACACTAACTTGGTCTTACCTTAGATAGGTAAGCCTCACCTGATGTCCTCTTAGCTCACCTGGTTGAATAGGTTGTTGTTATTATTATATAGGTAACCCTGACTTGGTCTTGCCTTATACAGGTAAGCCTCACTTGATGTCGTCTTAGCTCACCCTGGTTGTACAGGTAACCCTGACTTGGTCTTGCCTTATACAGACAGACCTCCTCTCTGCTCATAACCTCGCATGGCCTTGGCCTTTTGTGTTGCTGCCTCACACGCACCTTGCGGTTCATTCAGGTAACTTCTAAAGGGACCGTTTCCAAGGCAGGTGTGCTCCACCTGAGATCCCTGGGCCTCCTGCTCCATCCACCGCTCGTGTCCTGGTCTGTTTGTTACTAAATTAGGCCCAAGCGTGATGCCATTGCACATTTCCACCCGTGCGCCTTCCTCCTTCATTTCTATATATATCTCTAATTTTGTTTTTGCAGAAGCAATGCCCCAAACGGGCCCTTCTGTCCCACGCTTGGAAAACCACAACAAGTTCCGCCTGGGCAGCTTTTGCATGTCTTCCTTTTGTTTACGAAGCGTGGCACATTGGGCTTTTCCCCCCGGTTACATTTGGAGAGTGCCATAAACCAGGCCAGGAGAGTGGAGGGTCTGCCCTTCCCTTCCTCCATTCCTGCCTCCAAAATCCCAAAACGAAACAATGGAAAACCTTGACGGTCTCCAAGGGAAAATACTTGGAATTCCTGAGAGCGGACCGGGCTGGACCGGCCTTCGGAGGCAGCCACAGAGACTCTCCTTTCCCTCTGTAATAGCATATGGAGACACACGGAAAGAGAGTTAATGGGGATTTGGAGTTCACCAAGTACCAAACTTTTCAATAGATTTAATTCAGCATCCTAATGCCCTACTTTGCAGGGCCGTTGGGAAGAATGAGCCAGATGGTGAGACGAGGATAGACAGATGAGAGTTGGTGGGGATTTATAGTTCATCAAGTACCGAATTTTTCAATAAGGGATTTAATTCGGCGTCCGAATGCCCTACTTTGCAGGGCCGTTGGGAAGAATGAGCCAGATGGTGAGATGAGGATAAGCAGAAGAGAATTGGTGGGGATTTATAGTTCACCAAGTACCAAACTTTTCAATAAGGGATTTAATTCGGCATCCTAATGCTCTACTTTGCAGGGTCGTTGGGAAGAATAAGCCAGATGGTGAGATGATGGGGACTTATAGTTCACCAAGTTGGTGGGGACTTATAGTTCACCAAGTACCAAACATTTCAAGGGGGGATTTAATTCAGCATCCTAATGCCCTACTTTGCAGGGTCATTGGGAAGAATAAGCCAGATGGTGAGATGAGGATAAGCAGAAGAGAATTAGTGGGGATTTATAGTTCACCAAGTACCAAACTTTTCAATAAAGGGTTTAATTCAGCATCCTAATGCCTGCTTTGCAGGGCCATTGTGAACAATGAGCCAGATGATGAGACAAGGATAGACAGAACAGTGTTGGTGGGGATTTATAGTTCGCCAAGTACCGAATGGTCAAATAGGAAAACCAGGGACCCAGTTCAGCACCAAAATGTCCTCCTTTGCAGGGCCATGGGGAAGAATAAGCCAGATGATGAGATGAGGATAGACAGAAGAGAGTTGGTGGGGATTTACAGTTCACCAAGTACCAAATGGTCAAATAGGAAAACCAGAAACGCAGTTCAGCACCAAAATGTCCTCCAACAGAAGAGTGTTGGTGGGGGTTTATAGTTCACCAAGTACCAAACTATTCAAGGGGGGATTTAATTCGGCATCCTAATGCCCTACTTTGCAGGGTCGTTGGGAAGAATAAGCCAGATGATGAGATGAGGGTAGACAGAAGAGAGTTGGTGTGGATTTATAGTTCTCCAAGTACCAAACTATACAATAGGCGATTTACTTTGTCATAACAATGCCCTGCTTTGCAGGGTTGTTGTGAACAATGAGCCAGATGATGAGATGAGGATAGACAGACGAGAGTGGGTGGGGATTTATAGTTTGCCACATACCACAGTATTCAAGAGGGGATTTAATTTGGCATCCTAGTGCCCCACTTTGCAGGGTTGTTATGAAGAATGAGGCAGATGGTGAGATGAAGCTAATAGATAAGGACGGGAGTACTTTTCCTCGATGAAATCGGTCCGTTTGCAAAATCCAGGCTGCGTTGAGTGCAGTTGTTTCAGAGGGTGGAGCAGAGGAGCAAGCTGAGGCCGCAAGGATTTTATTATTTTTGGCCCAGACCTGGGGCTCCAAGGCAAGCCCGGCCCAAGCGGCGCCTTCCCCGGAGATATTCTTGCACGCTGGAGCCAGCCGGTCGGGGACCGGTCACACAACACACTTACGGCACAATTATTCCACTTCAACTACCATCCAGAACGAACCAGTGGCAGGTAGTTCCAAAGGGACACAGTCAAGTTGAGTCTAAATGAAATCCAGGCAAACGTAATAGACTTTTGTTCCAATGGTGAAGTGGAGAGTTTGAGCTTCCTTTGGCTTGATCCAGTGGTCAGTTTGACGTGACCCGGTGGCGGGTCAGTCCAAAGGGCTTATGTGTGTGTGTGTGTATATATAATTGAGTCAATCCTAAATTAACCCCAGACTAACATTGTGTTTGAGCATCATTCACCTTGATCTAGTGGCAGGTAGTTCCAAAGGGAAAAAGCAACCTGGCCTTAAATGTATATGTATGTGTGTGTGTGTGTATGTATGCATATATGTATATATAATTGAGTCAAGCCTAAATTAACCCCAGACTAACATTGTGTTTGAGCATCATTCACTTTGATCCAGTGGTGGGTAGTTGCAAAGGGCAAAAGCAATCCGACCTTAAATGTATATGTATGTGTGTTTGTGTATGTATGCATATGTGTGTGTGTGTGTATGTGTATATATATATATAATTGAGTCAATCATAAATTAACCCCAGACTAACATTGTGTTTGAGCATCATTCACCCTGATCCAGTGGCAGGTAGTTCCAAAGGGCAAAAGCAACCTGGCCTTAAATGTATATGTGTGTGTGTGTGTGTATGCATGTGTGTGTGTGTGTGTATATATATATAATTGAGTCAATCATAAATTAACCCCAGACTAACATTGTGTTTGAGCATCATTCACCCTGATCCAGTGGCAGGTAGTTCCAAAGGGCA